TACGAAAGTTCTATGTCAACTTGATGATAGGTAAGTCTTGATTATTTTATATTCAAGTGCAAGCAAATTAAATTGATTTCATAATACGGTAACTGACGGATCTCCTCATTCGCTCAAGTTTATTCTTTTGATCTCACTTTTTTCTCTCAAGTTAAAATAAACATGTGTTTTAATGACAGAATTGAGGCACAGAGCTACGGCATAAAATCGTGGGTAGATACCCATTTCAACTTAATCCATTTACTATACCATTCTTTTGAAGGTTTTAACTCTCTTCAGATTATGACGATTTGATTCACTAATGATTATGATTTTATAAATTTTTAACTGAAAACGATCGCTGACTGTAGTCGTTATTGGTTATTCTCTTGATGTTACAACGACGATTTGAATTGATCGCCCCTTACATGCTTTAAAAAATCAACGACTAATTGCACCATTCCCTTAAACATAACGGAATTTATATCGTAGTTGTAACAACTGTTTAGTCCAATCTAGACGAAACCAATGACTGATAGTATGCATATACCACTCTTTATGCAATGGTAAATGCTTTTCAGTTTAATCTTCGCCATTAAATTAATTCTTCTTGATGATATTAAATTGTGGTTCTCTACACTATTGGTTGCCTTTTAAAGCATTTTTACAATTTACTTCAAAGTAAAGTTATGACTTTGGTTCTAATTTCCAAAGTAAAATGCCATTGTACAGATACTTAAAACCAACTCTCGCTTTATTCTCCAAAACGAGACGTGAACAAGCGTAAATAAAGCAAAGAATGAACTTTAATTTTGACCTACTTTAAATTTCTAACTGTTTTTAGTCTGAACGCAAGGACTCATGATATAAGCTTTGATAATGTAATGATAGTGATCAATTAATTATTACTCATAACTATGACTCCATTTTCCTGCTAATAAACTAATACTATACCCAAAGCTCCAAAACGCGTACTAGTAGGATCAATTGCATCAAGCGATACTGTTTCCATGATCGTATTTCACTACACCTTCAACTAATCATCTTGATATTTACTTAACAAAGTAGAATACTGAAGTAATTTCCTAACTATGACTTCATTTTCCTGCCAAAAAATTAATACCATAGCCAAAGCTCGAAAATGCATTAGTATGATAAACTGTATATTGCAACATCGTGTTCATGATCGTATTTCGCAACAGTTTCAACTAAACGTCTAGATATTTACTCAAGAAAATAGAGATACTGAAGTAGTTTCTCATCCATAGAAGGAAGTTATCACGAGCTACTATTAAGTAAACAACTTATCTTGAATATATTCTTACAAATTGAGTTTATAGCGTAAGTGCTATACAATATCTACCTCTCAGGTTGAATCAATTTACTATAAGTAATTTCAAATGAGCTAATATATTTACTACAACATTTTTGTCGATTCTGTCATTATACTGGGAACGAATTGGAGTTCTTTTATTCTTTCTTTTTATAAGAAAATTTTTCTGCAATCAATTTATATTCGTGATAATGTAGATAATGCTGTTAAGCAAATAATTTATCTTATATAATATTCTTATAAATTGAGCTTATACCGTAAGTGCTATAAAATATCTGCCTGTTAGCTTAAATCTATTTGTTACAAGTGATTTATTTAAAGTTAGCTAATACTTTGAATACGTTTATACCTGTTTTTACCATCATTATGCGAGCAAATTGGAGTTTTTCATTCTTTCTAAAATCAGTTTGTCTGTATTCAGTTGACGCTTCGTGATAATATGGAAAATTATTTCCGAGAAGTTGAGTAATGGAAAGCACTACAGAAAAACTTTAAAGAGAAGTTTGACTATTCGTATCGATTAGTGCCTTGTTAAAATATTTTTTGTCAGCTTGTTTCACTGTTTCAAAGTCAATCAATAAGCTCTACTTTAAAATATAATGTAGGGATTAAGCAATAGTACTTTCGTCAGTGCAATGTTACAAGTGTTGCAGTTTCTATCAATTCTACCATACGTTGATCGATTCGCGTTTGCTTTACAACAGTGGATCTAATATTGAATAGCGAAGATAATCTGTTTTTCTAGTTTTCGATTTTATCCTCCTTTCCTTATATTTGTACATACTCGTAAATGTATAGTTAATATGGTATCACTACAAACTCTAACATGAGGTGAGGTGATGACAATTATTTATGTACGAATTTGTGTTAAAATTTAGCTTTTGTCAGGATTCCAGCGTCATCTACTGTATTTTTTCAATGCAGCTCTTGCTACGTAACTTTAATCTTATAAGCATATTCAATGAAGTCCTAATAAATTATACACAGCCCAGGCACATTGCATTAAATAAATTCCCTTCTCCTATCATATTAAGCGAACTAAACAAATAATGTCCTTTCTATTAAAATAGCATTGATGATAAATTTAAGCAAATATTAATTTTTTTCACGAGAACATGTTCTAGTAAAAGCTAACACTGACAGCATGCATATTATGTATTCTTTTTCCATTTCTACTATACACGGGTAGTAAGAATGCACCAATTATCAAGGTGATCGTTCAGAAATTACCAGATAAAAAATTGCCCTAATAGCTACCTTTTAATAATAAGCGATAAGATAAATTCTCTTTAATCTATACTACAGTTCAGCCTATAAACATAAATGAGAATAAATTATCCACTTAATGTTCCGGATGACTAATTTTTCTCTTTGTAATGATCAGGTGAACATCCTTATTATTTTCTGCATCTTCTTTTATTACACTTTCAGTGGTCAATATAACTAAATCTCAGACTATATGACTTAATTAATAGCTAATAGTAGCCTTATACTAGTAACTTTTAGTCTTTTATTCTTATATTTAATTTAAAGTGTTGTTAATTTGTATGCTACTATGCTACTTAATACAATAAACTCCCTATATGGCGATCACTGTTTTCTTTTATCTTGTAAAAATATCAATTCAATATCGACGATTTTGGCTACACATGACTTTGTGAAATATAGACATATTTTTCGGTCAAATTTCCAAAACGCTATTCTCTATCCTATAAATTGCCTTCGTACAGAGATAGTTTAAAAATATTAATTTTACTCTTCAATCCATAACAAAAACTTTAAATTATTTCAATATGAATATTATCTAATAGATCTAAAGGTAAATTAGTAAATCACTAAAGAAATTATTCATCACGACGATTTTAGTTATATGATTCCGTATAATATAGATATAGCTTTTAGTAAATTATCCAAAATGCTATCCTCTATCTTACAAATTAATACAAATTGCTATCCTACGGAGTCAATTTAAAATATTGAATATAATTTTCAATCCATATGTCATAGTCATCAAAATAACTTAGATATGGATGTGTAGTTTATGATAACATTTTATTTTGAACTTTTTAGAAGTGTAAACTACTACCTCAGGAATTGTTATTGTTAGTAATGCCCTAAGTTATTATGATATTATGATGATATAGTAGTAATATGTTACAAGTAAGTATCAAGAACATAGGAGCTTGACAGGGCTTACAGTCGAAGTAGATTTACGTATGAAATTGTTTATTACATCGAATGTCCGTATTTAATAATTCAATCGTAATAACATGTTTGTTATTGAAATATGTTGGTAGCATAGTAAATATGTTTATAACTACTGAAAGAGTACGTAAGAACGACTGTGATCAATAAAAAGTGATTTTCAGGTTAAGGCTAAGCTGTGTGATAGTTTTATATCGTATAGTGTGTTGAGCGAGTTAATTATTCGCAAGGATTCCAATTACTATACCGTAGGCTAGGGAAGTAGTTCTGCGGATTATCGTAAAGTTTATTATAAGTACTGTGTTGTTTTCTTGTGTCGTAAGGGTAGTTGTGACACTATAACAAAATTATAAATCATTCCAACATCATTTAATAGATGTAAAGGTAAAGTAGTAACCCACTAAAGAAATTATTCATTCACTAGAATAATAAATGGATAAACTGGTAGACATAGTATTGTACAAACTACCAAATAAAACTGTATTATTTGATAATTAATCTTCAGCGATCGAAACATTACAATTAGATTATCTACCTAACCTTATAATTTATTTTGTAGATCTCTAAAATACATAATCACGAATAAACACAAGATGAATCAAAAGAAAGATATTTTACTTTATGTCAACGGTGCTAAGGTAAGCCAATGAATCACTTGGCAAGCTATATGCAGCCAATTTCTATTTTATATTACATTATCTTCTAAATCTAAGAATTTAGAATATCATTTATCGATGTGTTACAGCGTTATACACTGTAATATCGAGATTATAATAGAAACATCTATGTTAGGACAATTTTGTTGATTTACCCTTATATGAAGAGTTTCTATTTTAGATATATGATATTTAAATATAGCACTAGCTTTTATGGTGATATATATAGCTTACTGAAATTAGTAGTTTAAGTAGGGAATCGAGAATAACCTTCTTATAATTCAAATCACTGTGATTGTAATTTACCTATGGTAGATTGTAGATTATCGTAGAAATGTTCCGAGACAGGACATATTGTAATCTGACAATTTTGTATTAGTTATTCGATGTCTATGTTCGTAAATACTGTTGTCTTCATTAGGTAGCAGTAGATAAAATTGATTATAGATTAAACTGCAAATGATTCTACGAAAGGGCATACTGTAATTCAGTCATTTAAAACTAGTTGCTAGATATCTATGACTATAAATATTTCTATATTAATTTGTTTATTAAGTAAGACTTGACTGTTAGAATCTCAAGATGATTCACCAATGTTAGCTGCTACCAAAGAGTATATAAACTCGGCAGATAATTGAGTAAAATCAATTCTCTAGTCATACAATGTATCCTGGAAGAAAAGACTTCAAAATTCGTACGAGGAGTTAGGGATACTGTATCCCAGAGACTTTAGAAATTTAGCGATTTATTTTTAGCTAACCCTTGTTACGAAGCTGTCTTGTAACAGATTTTGATTAACTTTTACAATGCGTTTGCTTTTTTAGTATATAGTAGAGAATGTACAACCAGAATGGACGTTATTGCGTTTTCTTCGAAACCAATGTAATTTTCTACAATAAATCCATGCAAAATATATGAAATATTGTAAAAATTAAAACTACTTTATGATAGATTGATAGAGTCAAGTGATAATATTTTAATAACTGCAGTAACATAAAAAAAATCAATTAGTTAGAAGTGAAAATTCAGTGTAATAATAACTATTTTAACTAATCTGCATCCATTAGTACATTTAACTGGGACGAAATTGGCATGTGGCGAAGGAGGTTGTGGAGCCTGTACTGCTATGATCTCGAGATACGATCGATTTGAAGAAAAAATCATGTATCCAACAATATCGTATTTATCAACTAATTGATTGTATGGGCTATTATTATTTCAATCGAAGCATAGTATCAAAATACTAGAATCTATTAAAATAAAATAAGTTGTAATATAAAATTTACGGACTTGAAGATAAAATATCATATTTTTTAGCATAGATTAATGATTTTATATTTAGGTGTCCAATTTTGTCTGTAGTGGGGAAATAGATCTTTCAATAATACTGTCTGTATTAAAAGCATTTGATCTATTAAAATTATTCTACCTTCAATATAAAATTTGAATAGTGAAAGAAAAAGCATCGCTTTACTCTTGAGATAGATTAATTATTTTACATTCGGCACTCAATTTTTTCTGTAGTGCGGATATAGGTCTTTTAATGATACTAACAGTGTTAAAGTTAACATTACATAGCATAAAAACGAAGATTCAATACAAAGAGAGCTAAAAATTCTTTAACATATGTATAAAAGCCACTATACAGTGAACACTTGTCTAATTCCGTTGTGCACTCTGGATTTTACTGCTGTAACCACGGTTGAGGGAATAGGAAGTACAAACACTAAATTGCATCCAGTTCAGGTGGAATATTTATAAATTTAAATCCAAAGCTCCTTTAACAGTATCATCATTTATGATCAGCAATAATGATTTGCGCTAAGCATTACAAAATTGCAAGTCATGGAATATTAAGAAGGGTTCATATTTATTGCCCTTTCAATAGGAGCGAATTGCTAAAACTCATGGATCTCAATGTGGATTTTGCACACCTGGATTTGTCATGTCTATGTATACATTACTTCGAAATAATCCACAGCCAACAGAAGAAGAAATCGAATCAGCATGTGAAGGTGCATAGCGTATTCGAAATAACGAAATTGTCGTGATAGTTTATCCTAATAGAATCTACAATGCTATTATTACAATTAGTATGTATACATGCCTGAAATTAATATGATATAGTGACGATAATTATATAATACAGGTAATTTATGTCGATGTACCGGATATCGAGGGATACTTGATGGATTTAAAACATTTTCCAAGGTAATACATTAATTCAAATTAAATAAACTGACGAAATTCTCGTACATTAGTTGATGAAAATAAGTTTATCGCAATTGCTGGGAAATTTTATGTAAGCAAAATTCCAATGGTCATACGATAGCGATCATAACGATAAAAGTAGATTTAAAATGTTAAAAGACAAATTAGCTATAGAATTTTACATGTAGATAAAAGTAGCTTAGCCATAAATTATGAAATGTATTCATTACAAGTTTTGTATGGAATGATTTACGTGCATAATGTGTTCATATCAATTATTATTTTTAACAAAATAGTATGATTAGAAACTATATTTATTTGGCATCTATTCTCTAATGATTATCCATATGTATTTTTGAAGAGTTATTGCTGCAAGAAAGAACTAAAGAACGCTGAAGTAGAAAATGAAGTGGTAAAATTATCTTAATCCTGAAATCAAAGTAGAGTTTGATTATATTACAGTCTAAAGCTTATTTTATTGCTTACTTACCATTTCTTGTTGAACCAGTAGTTATAAGTTGATTATTACTCGAATGAAATTGAAACTATTTAATATATCGAAGCTTTTATTAAGTTGCTTAAGGTTAACAAGATTAACAATCTAGTCATGTTAAAAGTATATTGCTTGAGTAGGATGGAGCTTTGTCTTTAATTATAGATGTTTTAGTTTTGGATTACAATACATTCCATAGAGAGCCTACATATATTTTAGCTATCAGCATAGAACATATTTAATATTCAATAACATCAATTACTAGTATGTTCAGATATACGAAGTAAGATAACCGTAAAAGTCATTTTTCACAGGGAGAAATGACCTGCAAATTATACAGCTTGTCTGAATTTGAAGAGTATGATCCCTCTCAGGACCTCATATTTCCTCCAGAGTTACTGGTAATCTCTTGTTAATCTTTATCCTATTTTACTATACGTAAACTGTATCCATGAATTTCGTTAATGTATCTATATTTAAAGCAATAATTGTGCATAAATCATCTTGCTTTAAATCTATTTTGTGAAACAGATCATGAAGGACCGACCTCAACATAGTCTAAGCATTACTGGCAAACAATTTACCTGGTTTAGGCCATCTACTATAGATGAACTCTTATCCCTCAAGAAAGAGTATCCCGCGGCGAAACTAGTGGTTGGAAATACAGAAATTGGTTAGCAAGTGCTATAAATAATATAATATAATAAACTATCTCCTATCATTCTATCAAGATGTCTCTGTATGCTACCAAAATATTACAGTAGGTCAATCATAAATTGTTAAATATTTTAAAAATAATATAATACAATAAACTATTTCCTTTTGTCTTATCGATAAGTCTCTGCATGCTACCAAAATATTACAGTATGTCAAACATAAATTGCTCTTAATTCTAGAGGTTTTATGAAATTGCAATGTCTCAATTTAGCATTAAGTAGTTGAAAGGAAATTCTGAATGAAATTAGCCAGCTAGAATAAAATGAATTCGATTCTATAGGTCTTGAAATGAAATCGAAATGCCTTCGATATCCAGTTTTAATTTCACCATGTGAAATACCACAGTTAAATGGCGTACATTATGCAAATGAAGGAATTGAGCTTGGTGCATGTATTAGCTTGACAAGATTAAATAAAGTTTTAAAGGAAGTAATCGAAAAATTACCAGGTACAGAAATGCCTAACTTTATTTACATAGCGTATTCTTTACTTCAGTCGATTCGATTAGAATTGTTTTTTTATCATTACGTCAAGAATATAAGACAAGAGTCTTTGCAGCTATAGTTGAAATGCTACGATGGTTTGGTGGGCAACAAATTAGGAATGTTGGCGTAAGTAGATTAATGTTCATAATAAAAGATTTTCATAACTTTAAATGGGTAAAGATTATCCATTTTCAAATTATTGATTTATTAATGCTGAATAGAGTATCGTTGGCAATATTATGAACGCGAGTCCAATCTCTGATCTAAATCCGTTATTCTTAGCAGCTAAGGCGAAGTTGACTATCCAATCAGTAGATGGTATTTTATATTATTATGATATAAGTTTACTTAAATTCAATGACCGAACGGAAACATCTATATTTCGAGAAAAATAATGTACATGTATTTGGAGTATCAAAATTAGAATTAAGCCAAATTTGGTAGCAATAAACAATTAAGGTATTAAAAAAATTTATATCTTGCTTTACTTGCCTTTCAGGTCTTAAGAAGGTTATTACTATGGACGAAAACTTTTTTACCAGTTACCGTAAAACTTGCATAAAGGAAGATGAAATTGTTATTTCCATTCTTATTCCCTATACTATCGAGGTAAGCTACCCCAAAATGATGGCTATATCATCTGTTGGCAATTCGTGCATAGTTGTAGCTCTGTTATGGTTAGAAAGCGATTCTCAATGTTTACTCTATTTTCTTACCATTAAGAACGAATATTTTTACGGATTTAAACAAGCTCGTCGACGCACTGATGATTTAGCGATAGTTAATGCTGGAATGCGAATTATTATAAGTAAATCGGAGCGAGAGTCGAACTTTACTATTAAGGATTGCTTATTGTGCTTCGGTGGTATGGCTGCAGTAACCGTTATTGCTAAGCAAGCAAGCAATTTCCTGATTGGAAGGCAAGCTAAATTACTTCTACTAGATATATTGTATAATCTGTTGTTATTATACTTAATCAAATATTGTATATACTGTATATATAGTCTATGAACTTATCTATAGTCTCACCTTAAATTTAATTTCTTGCTTAATATTAACAGTTTTCACGATAAAGTATCGGATAGCAAATAGACATTTTATAGATCTATGTGAATTTGCGTCCCCAATTTTTTCTTTTCATTTTTAGCAATTGAGTATAGTAAAATAAAAAAGTTCAGAGAGCAAATAAATTTATACATCTACATGAAACATCACAAGAAAGTTTAATTCTATAAAATCTCTGTTACTAAAGAATGAAAATAAACTGGAATATGATCTGCTTTGGTGATAACTTTCTAATATATTCGATCAATTCTGGTGATTTTGCTTTTAACAGTGATCGTTCTATCATTTCAATCAAAATTATACAAGATTCTTAATTGCACCCATAAACATAATATAATACATTCTATTTTTAAATTATCCGAAATCGATTGTATCTTCTATATTACTTAACTAGTATCTGGTAAAATGAAAGATAGTTTAGAGATTCTGTAGGATACACGCATAAAACACTGATAGAGCACATTATATAAATTTGTAAAGGAAAACTTATTTTATAATTTGAAAATTATCTCATACTAGACCTTTATTACTAAGAGTTTCCATCATAATGTAGAGGGAAAAATTTATAACGGATTATATTTTGATTTGATAGGCCGTGGAATACAACTTTAACTGAATCTGTTATTCATTTATTAAACGAAGATATGCCGTTGCCTTTCTCTGCTCCTGGAGGAATGATCGAATTTAGGAAAGCTTTAGCAGCGAGTTTCTTTTTTAAATTCTACTTATTGGTTACGTCCCAGATATCGATAGAAAAGGTTTTTTAATGAAATAAGCAATTAAATAAATATTATTAACACTTGTACTGCATAAATTTGTAATGTCACAGTAAAAATTATATTAATCAATTCCGCCTAAATTTTAATCTAGGAAAATTTAACCAGTCAACTGCCAACTTCTTATTTAAGTGCTTGCTCTGTCTTTAAACAAGATCCAATGCAGAGTATTCAAGTATTTGAGGTAAGTCAAACCCATCTCAAATTATTTGAATACATTTTGCTATATGAAAAGTAATCATAGACTAGTAATTATTTAAAATTTGACCTTACTAAACTAGCAGTCATTTTTGAATACCAACTTAAATTTGGACAAAAGCACCTATTTCTTATAATTTAACGATAAGCTTATGAAACTCTCAAATGTCATTTACGTTAAGATAAATTCCATCTGAGATTCCTCATCATTTTAATTTAATTACATAAATATTATTTAACAATAAATTGAATCTGCCTACAGTTTACAGTATGCAGTATATAACCAAGATAGTAAGACTAGTATCTTTAAAATAGAGCCCAGACCGAATACTCAGGTTCACATTAAGTTAAAAATAAATAGAGTTTAAAAATCAATGGATAAATAGAGTACAAAAGCCTTTCATATGCACTAGAGATACTATTTACATTATAATAACTCGCTAGAAAGCAAGATTAAATTTAGCATGTGATGGAAAATTTATCAAGTACGAAAAGCAATTTCTATACTAGTATAGAAGAAATACAGTATTTTATCTATCTGCGAAAATATGAGATTCAAGTATTGGTTTACTGTTAGAGAAATCGATCTACAAAAACATGTAGAAATTAAATAAGACATTCCTTTCAAACGTATTTAGAAACCCGACCCTAATTTGCCGCCAGATAGTGGCATGAGAAAGCCAATTGTCCATCAATCTGCTTTAACACAAGCAACGGGAGAAGCTATCTACAGTGATGATTTACCCACTTTTTCAAGTATAATTTTCATCTATTTGCTATAATTATTATAAAGCTTCCAAATAGATTGCCGTTCTTGATTGATAAATATCCATTTGTAATGTAAATTAACGCTGATATTTATAACTTTTGTAGATGAATTAAATGCTAGTTTAGTGCTGAGTAAAAAGCCGCATGCTGTAATTAAGTAAGGCAACTAATATTCTGATGGAATATATCTGCAACTGTTATCATACTAAAATTACATGAATTATATTTAAAGATCTATAAGATTTGAAAAAGCACTCCAAATGCCAGGTGTTGTAAGTCATGTTACAGCAGCGGATATTCCCGGAACTAATCATTTTGGCCCTGCTGTTGCCGACGATGAAGTATTTGCTACTACAAAGGTACTTGGCTGATTTAGTGACGGTTACACAAGATCGCGTATACAAGTCTAATATTCTCCAGTAGTTGTTTATCTATCGATTTATCTATATGTAGAAATTCAAAGTGGATAGGTCTACTAGTCTATTGCTCAATCGTAATCTCGATTTCGATATCGACAGGTTACTTGCATAGGTCATATTATTGGAGTTATTTTAGCGGATACTAAAGAACATGCTGATGATGCGGTTGCAGCCGTAGAAATCGAATACAAAGATTTACCTGCAATATTAACCATAGAAGTATGCGAGAATCATGGTTACAGTTCTAGTATTTCATAAAGGGGCAATGATGACATTGATATTGTGATTTTCGATATATGACTTCTTTTTTCATCATGCTTGTGTATTTTAGGAAGCGATAGAAGCAAAATCTTTTTACCAACCGATCCGCCATCGTCAAGTAGGAGATGTAGAGCAGGAATTGGAAATGTCCGATCAAGTTATCGAGGGAGAGCTTCGAATTGGTGGACAGGTAATTGGATAAAATAAAGGGTTGGAATGGTTTAATCTGATGGATTGCCATAACTAACAATTTACGTCATTGAATTGATGCTTCAAGTAAAAGTTAATGCTTACAATATTAATATTTGCCCAGTTTCTGTTTAATCCTTACCGCATTAAACACGATTTAGGAACATTTCTATTTCGAAACACAAAGTTGTCTGGCATTACCTAAGCTTGAAAACGGTGAAATGGAAATTTTTGCTTCTACTCAGAATCCTAGCGGAACACAATTAACAGCGGCAAGGACTTTAGCTATTCCAGCTAATAGAGTTGTGTGTCGAGTTAAACGCTTAGGTGCACGGCTATATTTTAACAGGAATAATTATGCTGCATAATCATCGGTGTTGATAGTATCTTCAATTAACTGTGATTCCATATACTCTTTTGTCATCCTAATAAATTAAGGAGGAGGATTTGGTGGAAAAGAAACACGGACAGTCGGATTTACCACAGCAATTGCAGTTGCGGCACAAAAGTAAAGCCAGTAAACACTACTGTATAATATCCCAACTTAAAAGTACTCCATAAAGCCAACATTATCCATGACATGATGGATTCTCATTTCATTCATAACTATCCCACAGAATAATATCATAACTTAAATTGTCCTATAAATCCAGCAATATCTATAACATGATAGATTCTCATTTCTTTTACAATTACCCCATAGAATAATATCCTAACGTAAATTATCTCACAAAGCCAACATTATCTATGAATGAATGGATTCTCATATCTTTCACATTTATCCCGTAGTTCTTATTTAGCGTTACTGTTGCTCATAATTGATTAACATAATCAAATCTACGTTATTGTCAGTATATCACTTTTTCGCCAAGCATATTAAGATCATTAATGGCAGACGTAGTACAGTAGATATAATTTTGTTTTCCTGGGCTATATATCATGAGACAATTTGTAATTCTGTCCCAGTCCAGAGTATACCCGACTAAATTATACTTGTAGACGCTTTCTGCTCAATTTAAACGCTCTACAGGTTCATAGTCATGATTTCATTAATCAATCTGCAAAGTTTAAAATATAATATTGCTATAATATATAAAGTTGATATTTTTATGTTCTTTTTATTTTACTTTACGATACTGACAGCATCTAACAGTATTTTAAAGTTAATCTTTATAGCTAGCTTGAAATGCTCAAAAGTAATTAAAGATTTATTCTTTAATTTTCAAGCCATAGAATACCATTGCTTCATGATTTATAATTTCATGCAATCATAATATCATAATAAGTATCGTAGAAGTTTTATGCAGGTATAGATCTGCTGACGCGTATATATATGCACATTCCAACATTTAGGGTTAGAAAGCCAGTTCGATGTGTTCTGGAAAGAGATATTGACATGTCAATAACTGGAACAAGACATCCTTTTTTATTTAGATATAAGGTAATACGTGAATGAATATCGCCGTTAAATACAGATTACAGATGTAAAGCAGGTTTTGGTATTAAAAGAGCTTTACTATGCGTATTTAGGTTGGATTTTCTAATAATGGAGCTGTTCGTGCTTTAAAAATTCGTATGTATTCTAACGCTGGAAACTCGTTCGATTTGTCCTTAGCGGTACGAAGAGCAATTTATCTTTTAAAAGCTACTATAGTTATCTCATCAACTTAAGTTGTTATAACACGAAGTAGGCAGTAATCGTTATTATTGTGTAAATCTTTCAGGTTATGGAGCGTGCCTTAATAGGATTTCGAAGCTGTTACCATTTTTCAAATATTGATATTATGGGTTATATATGTAAAACAAATATTCCATCCAACACAGCTTTTAGAGGATTTGGTTCTCCTCAGGTATGTTAGAGATTGTTTCGTCTGATCTGCCAATATCATTTTGACATTGTGTTAAATCTGTTATCCCTATTTGTGGGTTATTTATAAGACTAATGTAATGAAATTGTTCGTAATTCTAGGATCATATTTACTTTTTTTACAGGGAATGTTATTAACCGAGACGATATTAAATGATGTTGCTACAGCATGTGATCTTCCTCCATTGAAGGTGGTAGTACAATCCAGTTTATGGTTTTGCTACAGTGCAGAAGCCATGCAATCAAATTAGAATATTGAGTAATTTCTATTATTCGTATATCATTTAACTCAGGTTAGAGAGGTTAACCTGCATAAAGACGGTGATTTGGCTCATTATAATATGACTGTGGAGAATAGCAAAGCTAGCCTTGTTTTACAGCAAGTCGTTGAAAAGAGTCATTACGAACGTCGCAAACAACAAATTAGTTCCTTCAATAGGTAATAAAGCTAATTTTTAATCTTTAATATTATCGCAATTTCCATTTATACTGTAGTCAAGACGGTAATTGGATTCTAGAAACTATGGATTAATGCCTATCAATGCATAATTTTTTCCGCCGTTATAATAAAGCTACGACCAAATACGTATTGATGTTTAATTAATGGACGTTTTGATCATGGTATATATACACGTATACAGTACATATGGTTAAGAATTGAAGGAATTAGATATATCAAGCTGTATTTTAATCTACAATTATTGATGAAATTATTGACTGTATCATTCTCCTTCCATGTAGTAATACAATGATAGTCTATTTCATTTATTTAGGTAGTATTTGGTCATATTTAAATCATTTTTAATTACTAATAACGCCAAAATAAAGTCTTGCTCTTTCATATTTTTATGAAATAAGAAGCAAATAAACAACCGCAGAGAATATTTCGCTCTTTAATATTAATGAAATCACTTAAAATTCTTTATCGATCATTCGTATTTTCCTAACATATACTAATACTGTCCAATTGTACCGTACTTAGTTGTAAGGATTTATTGGGTATTATTGCGTTTAAATAATAAACAGTTTCGATTTTTACTATTTATAATTGCAGAGAAAATCGATGGAAGAAACGCGGTATTGCTGTCATTCCTACCGGCTTCCCAATATCCTATCCATTAAAGTTTTTTAATCAGGTGTTAATATAGTAATAGAAATCGTGGACTGGCATTAATTTAATAAGTATAAAGCGAAGCATCTCCAATATTTTAACTATTTTCAAATCTTTAGGGTGGCGCTCTAGTTATGATTTATCTAGATGGTTCAGTTTTACTATCTCATGGCGGAACTGAAATGGGCCAAGGTTTACATACTAAATTAACACAGGTCTGCATAAAATTGTAATTCAGTAGCAATGATTAAAATTACGATAGTTGAAATTTCAAGTGTAAAATTAATTTGTTCGAGATGCAGTTAGTGTTGCTTAATTATTACATAATTAATAAGAAATAAAAATAGTTAGGAATATAGCCTACAATCCCTTTTTACTACCTACGGATGCAGATGCAACTGTGGTGTTAATATACTCATTGCAAGCGCAAACATTGGATTAAGAGCAGAAATAGCAGCAGTAATCGTAATTCCGCTACAGTTACTCTAATATTAATATCATCTCTATGTTAGATTTGTTCGCACGTTTTGGGAGTACCAGTTGAGAAGGTACATATGCTTGAGACATCAACGTCGTCTGTTCCCAACACTACGCCAACATCGGCATCCGTAGCTACCGACTTAAATGGTGGAGCAGTTCTTGTAAGCATGTTTGTTACTATCCTTTATTGAATGAGAATTTTAAATAATAAATGTACTGTTAGTATTTAGGTTTGTCCTTTTAATGTTGTTATACGTCATTGTTATTTAAAAGAATGGGTTATAAATCTGTTACTAATTTTCTAATGTATAATTCATGATCAATATTGAATCAAAATTTATAACCATCTCTAGATAGAATTGCCACTTTAATTTAATTTCTTTTGGAGCTAAGCTTCGTAAAGTATAATATTTTAATGGTATAAAATTTCTATTAAAAAGATGAAATATTTTATCTAGAATGCGTGTGAAAAGTTAAAAGATAGGATTGCTCCTTATCAAGCTGCTAATCCAAAAGGAAAATGGGAAGATTGGGTAAATACATGATTTAAGAACACATCTGCAGTGATTTCATATTTAGATTATATGCCATTAAGCAGATTTTTGCATAGTATTCTGTCGTATACAATATTTCAGCATAGATTATTACCAATTATTAGAAATGATTGAATTGACTTAGCCACATTATTTACAAGGCTGAAGAAATATGTAATTTTAGCCTAAATACTTAGCGATTTATTATTCAAATTGTTGCTGTCATCATCTACTAGCAAATAGACATCTATTCAAATCTTGTAGATATTGGTTATCTTTACACAGACATTTAACAGCTATTGGAAAATTTTAATAATTCTTATCATAGATCACTGCTGCCTACCTGGACAGAGTAAATCTGTCCGCTAATGGATTCTATCGGTATATAAAGAAATTAAAGTATACTTATTTATTATAGTGTATTCAAATTTCAATATATACCAGGAAACCTTTAATGAAAGTTTAAATAACTAGGCTCCCTGATCGTGTAAATTATGACTGGGAGGCGAATACCGGCCAGCCGTTTTATTATATAACATATGGTGCTGCAGTATCTGAAGTTGAGATTGACACCTTAACTGGAAGTCATCATGTATATCTTATTTAATATTATATTTTCATGTAGATAGCAATGTCCTTCGTATCATTATGAGACAAATTCTACGCTTTTTATAGGCATAGAAATTATAGTAAAATACATCATATATATTCATACTTAATTCTATTAAGATAATTTGTTTTGCGGATGGCCTTAATGATATAAGAATTGATCAATAATTATAGATAATACGGTCGGATATTGTCATGGATGTTGGCAAAAGTATTAATCCTGCCATCGACATTGGCCAAGTATAAGATGAAATTGTTTATCGAATTGTTAATTATGTTATCAATTATTTGTGTATAGTTTAATCTCGAGTATAAAAATTTTTTTTTCGATTCAGATTGAGGGGGCCTTTATGCAAGGAATTGGATTATTTACATTAGAAGAGCAATATTTCTCGCCAGAGGGGAAACTATTAACTCGTGGGCCATCAACCTATAAATTACCAACTTCTAGGGATATTCCAAATGAATTTTACGTTTCCTTATTACCGAATGTTCCGAATGATAAAGCAGTCTTTTCTTCCAAGGTAATCTCTACTTAATTCCTATGGTTATTTAAACAACATCTATAAATGCACATGTTCTTATGTATTGTTTTATATGTTTTTGCTTGCATTGATTTATATTTTTAAATCGTAATCTAGAATTCATACAATGTACCTAAAGCGTCTGAGTTATTTATTCTCAAATTATCATTAAATTGGCCTAACATTACTTTTTGAATTATTGCAGGGGATTGGAGAACCGCCATTGTTTTTAGGATCGTCAGTATTCTTCGCAATTAAAGATGCTATCAACTCTGCGAGGTATAATATACAGTATCTTACAGTAATAAAATTCTCTTGCTCCTGCAATATCTATTAGCATTCATTTATATAAAAGGTAGAAGTCCTACTTTAAATATGAAAAGGACTTTATTAGAAAATGTTTTATACCCTAATAACGAAAAATGATCTTTTCTACGGTACTGCATAAAGATTTAGGGGTCTCTAGTCAAACTAAGAAGAAATATAATCTATCACATTTTAATTTGTGATAAAATCTAAATCCGTTAGAATCTGAGATCATAACATTTTCTATCGTAGATTTCGCATCCGTTCTCGTTCATATACAAATCTAAGAATAAAATTTAATTTACTTAAATTAAGTTCCCTCTACGGGATGGGCTGCATATTCTACCACTATAACCTATATTTATAATAAATCGTCATTTTACCAAAACTACACAATCTTTAGAATACTGATTCTATGCTTCATAGTTCTAGACTATTATGGCTAATACTCTTATGCCGTACTCGATACTAATAAGCATCTTTAGAATGGGATAAAAAATCTACATTGTTATAACATAGCGAGAAATCCCTTTGAAGAGAATTTATTTCAACATGATTTATTTATAGAAGATTATGCTAAGATTAGCATATTAAAGAAGTATTAAAACTATTTAATTAGGCAAGAAGTTGGTTTAGGCCTTATATATAGATTGGATAGCCCTGGTACATGTGAACGCATTAGAATGGCATGTCAAGATCAAATTACCACAGCGGTATTCCATTATTATATTATTTGAATCTTGTAATCAAATAAATGATATAATTATATCTATATTTTATCGAATTTAGATCGAGTCTACAGTTCAAGAGCCGAATGAAAAGCCATGGGCTATTCGTATATAATTTGTTAAATATAGGGTATTATTATACTTTATTGTATTGCGGATTGCTTTCAATTTAAAAGCAGTCGTAAAATTTTACCATGTAAAGTTTAGATTGTCCTCAATATCTTGTGTAGGTTAATATATTATACGAACGAATCTTGTGCTCATATAATATTAGTAACAAAGCGAGAATTAGCAATTCGAGTAAAACTTAATGCTTGAGAAGGAAGAAACACCTTTGTTATTAAAATTAAGTGGCTGTTATAATTTTACAGGTTTTTTTATTTGTAGTTTGCTCGTGAGATCATGCAATAATCATAGATAGAAATCTTATGTGTGCTCCATAATTTAAGTGATAAGAATTAAGAGCTATAGTATGCTATAGCAAACATTCCATTTTTAACGTTTTTTACATTCAAAATAATTCACTTTATTTTAATCTCTTAATAAATAAATCTATAATTATTTCTATGAATATAGTAATACGTATTTCTACATAACAATTATAATTGTCCGCGTTGCAATAGTATCGTAACACTACTATGTGATTACATAAAGGAAGTTTACTTTCTATCACAATGTTGCCAAAGGTAACATACCAATTGGTTTTTATATCTAATATCAGTATGGTGTAGAAAGCTAGTACTATACAAGTATTAAAATCACTTAATATGTTGCATATATATATTTTCGACCCCATTTAACTGCAATAACTATGGCTGGAAGTGATTTGAGCTGTTAAATCTCACTATTCACATTTCTTTTCCTGTTTTAGACCTGCAGGCTAGTAATATTTTCTGTTTTGTTACAGCTTTGTTACATGATAAAATTTTGAGGATTATTAATTTAGTTCACTGCAATAGCTATATATAAGCATGTATTCCTTCCTATTTATAATCGAGCCACTTGTAAACATTTGATTTTCTATCATAAATTTTCAAATTGACAGATCAAATCTTGTTCTATTTTTGTTATTTAGTTATAGAATTAGTCCTAGTATTGAACGCAGACTTAAATTGTTATTTTATGTCATTGTAATGGACTATAGAGTTGAACTAAAGCTGACAGAAATGGAAGAAGAGATAAAATTTGTGGTTGTAAAATAAATAGTATATAGAAGTAGATAAACTCCACGTTTATACTCTAGTAGCTACTGTACGATTAGTTAAGTGTATAAGCTTATCGTTCAATTGGTAAAAACTAAGTAACTAAATACGGTAAACGATAGATATATCACTCCTATAAAATATTCAATCATCATATAAATACTAAAGGGAAGCCTTTCAAAATTATTCTATATTTTGAAATGATTTAGATCTAAACGCAGATATCATCACGATTCGATTTTTATTGGATAACGACCCTGATATACATAAATGCAGCAGCGGTGCACAGCTGATACTAGCCCAGGGACCTTAATATTGATATACAGTATACATTAGGCAGTATTAATAATTTACTTTGTACACTTTACCACAAGTATCCAATGCAGCAGCCAGTCTTTCATGATCTCCAATAAATTTCTAGTAATAGCAAGTGCCATCTAATAGTGAAAGTAGTACAACTATAGGTATTCAAGTAACGTTAAAGATGGTAATTCAAGCTCAAGCGTTTGCACCATCATAGTCTCTCAGAAGGTATACAAATACTCTAACATTTACAAGAGATAATAACTTGTTTAGAAGTTGACTCCTAATCAATACTTTTATTCCGTTAAATAATCGTAAATCGCCTCTGATACTATGGATATACTTCCTAAATATGAGTTGCACAAACAAGAAAATCTTTCTTGTAAGAAGAAGTAGACTTTAAATAAAAGTAACTTTTATGATTGTGATATAATAGAATTGACATCAATGGTTCTTTTAGATGAATTAATATATTGCTTTTGCTTTATTACAATCATCAAGTAACATATTAAAATTTGGGACCCTTTAGGTAACAATAAATCAGTCGTAAAAATGATTTATAAGCAATAAGCACGAGTATATGCTGATCTAATTGTACTAGGTACTATGAGCACAAGTAATAATTTGCGTATCAATCTAGTAACATTTCATAGTATTTATACGTACGTTTATAGTAATTGTTTTAAAATGTAGATATGCCCATAGAAAGCAATAGTCAAGCATAGGTAGAATCTGGTTGAGAAAAATAAATCATGCGAAATGAAGTCTCGATAATGCATTGGGTATTACTATTATTGTTCCAGAAAGTCTTCATATAACAAATCACATAAAGGATTATAATGAAACTTTGCTACTATTAATAGCTATAGTTTAACCCAAATACAACCTCAAAACCTTTTAATGCTAGAATGATTACACAGGTAATGTTTTTACGAATTAGTATCTACGTATATAATTCCGATCTTAGTATTTGTGATATATACCAATCACGAGATTCAAATTTTAGAAAAATGAGGGCTTTATTGAATTTTATACAAAGATTAACTACACACAGCTCTACTTTAGCCGAATACTACTACTAAAGACTTCTAGAACGAACTAACAGAATAATCTAAAGTTGCATGCTTTTATACTTTCCGTAGCATTCGCAGCTACAATCCGCATGGCAAGCTTTTACCTTATTTTACACATAGTTAAATTATTTTTAGTAAGACTATTCTACTGCGGACCATCGTTAATCCAATATGGATACGACTACAGTACTTACGTAGACATTATTCACACCAGCCTAAGTACAATGAATTAACCATATCCTAATATATGATTGTCACAAATATCTCCTACTTGTGAGCGATTAAACTTCTCTAGTTGCTATTACTCTCGTTGAACACTGGCTATTATGGTCGAGGTTAGAACTACTAGAAGAGTTTTAATGTTATACAATACTGTATTGGTATAAGTCCGGGTTACAGGCCTGTCTATTACGATCGGAATTTGGAACTGAACAAGCTAGTCTGAGCTCGCCCTTTTATACCCTTAGTGCAGGCCGTTGGTGCATTGTAGCGAACTGGACTCTGCTTATTTTACTAAAATTTATATTAGAATTTCTTTACAATTGATAACAGGACTTAGTATAGACAAAGCTTGTAAACAACATTAATTAGAATAAATCAATTAATAACCAATTAGAGCCCTGAAGCTCTACACTAAATTAACACGCTTTTGATAGGTTCTATAGCCTATCATTAGATTACTTAATACTAAGCTAAGTAATTCTATGGCAACAATATAGATGGTGCATTTACATCTAATATTAATAATCCGAAACTCAATTAGCAATAGCGAATCGCAATTAACAAGAATGGATAAACAACATTAAAAGCAATTAGAAATATTAATTTAGCTTACGGTGTCAGACACCGTAACAATGATTTACAGTTCTATTTTTACCTATAGCTATAGCCTTGTTAGTAACTCAACACCTTACTGTATATAGTCATCTGTACTCTAGCATAGAGTCTCTACCACTACAGTCTATAGTTATAGCTACCAAATATCTCTTGGGATAAATATCTACCGTACATTATACTAAACATGGCTAATAGTCTACAATCACAATACTAGTTACATTACAGTATTGTAGACGTTATTTGAATGATATGGAATTGTATCGTTAAACCCGTATCATCCATGGCTTTTCATCGTCCTTACGTGTAGATGGCTTGATCTATGTAAAAAAAATTACGTTAACCAAAATATTTAATGTTTTAATTCATTAATTTAAAAACAGACTAATAAATAAATACACAATATATACTCGTAGTATTATATTCATCATTTCTGGTATGTTAAAAATAATTGATCGATCGCGAGTATGCACATAATCAAATTGATTTGAAAGTATACCTTTATATATCTATTAAGGCTATTTTCAGTACACTAATACATACAAAAGTGATATCTCGCAATTAACTCGTATCATTTCTAGTTAAGGCTAACTTTATATATTGGTATATATGAAATTTAATACAAAATAAATCGTTAACTCTTTTATGTTTAAGTTTATAATAGTAAGCATTAACATATAATCGATTATAATTATTGACCACAAGTGCATTAACAGTAGATTTTTGTTAAAAAAGAATTCTATAATATTATTTTACTGTACTTAAACAGATAACTAAAAACAATCTTCTCTGGAGTACTTGATTCTTAAGAATGATGGCCAATACAACTAGGGTAATATTTAATTACTTTCATATTACAGAAATCTATACAATCTTTATTACTGTTAAGATTTACCAGTGCTGTAATTTCATCATTACACATCATTCTTATCCTTTCGCATGTCGCTGGACTATCAAATCGAAATATATTGCTTATGTCAGCATCTTGCCTAATGTTGAGAGAAAGATTTACAATAATCAGCATTTCGAGTCATGAAAATGACATGGAAGATGATTGTGTAGCTTTATAACTATTTCTTGTTATAAAGTCTTGATGATTAATGGATGATAATATTAAGGTACAAGGAAACCTGGCTGCGATTATTGCATCCTTAATAGCGAAAAATACGGAAGATCCTAATAGCAATGGCGGTTCTCCAATTCCCTGTTATATAATCATTAATTTTTTTGAATAACACTCTCAATGAAAATTACTGAAAATTAATACAGTTGATTCAAATTATACCGTAAATCGTGGGTTTTAGCTAATCCGTACGCGTACAAAAAGGATTATAGAGTATATACCTTAGATGAATATATTGCATATTTATTAGGGACTTTGGGAAGCAAATAAACATAAAATTCGTTAGGAATATCAGTGGAACTTGGAATCTTGTACGTCCCTGGTCCTCGCGTCAATAGGTATCCAGTAGGAGAAAAAATATGATCTTCTAATGTATAAAGCCCCACTCCTTGAATAAATCCTCCTTCAATCTAATTATTAATTAATATTAGATTGCAGAATTAGCATCTCCATAATTTATGCATATCTTGCATGTATTAACCGTTTTCAAATCAGGCAAATAAATCATTAATAATAAAACCAAATATTCAGTACAAAGCTGTTTATTCTTCACCTGACCAATGTCGACTGCCGGGTTTAAACTTTTACCAACATCCATAACGATATCAGTTCTTAATATCTATATATGTGTTAATTATTAGCACATCAGAAATGTTAACATATAAAGTCTTAAATTTTATGTTATACCATAATTATTCTATTGAAATTTACAGAAGTATAGCGATATGATATTATAATAAAAAAATTTAAAAAGCTAGTACATGAAAATCTCCAGTCAAGGTATCTATTTCAACTTCAGAAACTGCTGCTCCATACGTGCGATAAAGATAGGTTTTACTGTCGTCGTATGCAGGACAACTAGAAAATTTTAAAGTTTACTGCTTCAGTACAGCGTTAACTTTAAACATTTATAACGACATAATTTTAAATTTTTAAACCTGTAAAATCCATTGGCAGATAAATTGACTCTATTGAGGTAGGCAGCTTTAACCTTCAAAGAGCAAATATAACTTTTACTGCATATCTAACCAATTTAGTCGATACATTGTCTCTAAAATAGTTACGAGTTATAAAAACCTTAACATATCGAAATTTCTTACCCAATCTTCCCATTTCCCTTTCGGGTTAGCTTCTTGAAATGGTTTGATTCTATTTCGCAATTTTTCGCATGCGTTCTTTGTTATTAAAGCAAGAAATTGTTATACAATTTAAAATCTACATAGTACGACATTCAAATAATAGAAATTGACTGATGTTATATTATCTATTTTAGTATGAAATATCACTAAGAAAATTTAAATAGAAATTTTACATACGGCAATGGCTGCACCATTTAAATCGGTTGATGACGAGGCGGCAGTTTGGGTAGCATTAGGTATATTAGATGAATTAGTTTCTATCAAATAGATTTTATCAGTTGGAACTCCAAGAATATGTGAACAAATCTGTAAATATATAACGTACGTTTTATTATTACTTTCAAAATAACAAGAATTAGGATATTGTTAACACAGTTCATTTGACCGCTACTGGATCAATATTAAATGAGTAAATAAGTGTATTGAGCTCAATATAATTGATCCTATGAATGGAGACCTGTGTCATCTTGGTATGCAATCCTTGGCCCATTTCAATTCCACCGTGACTTAGAAGAACAGAACCATCTAGATAAATTATTACTAATGCTCCACCCTAAGTTAGGATCAAAATTAGCATTAATCATTAATTAGTATAATATTGCCATATTGTAGCAACAGAATTGTTAGGCTGATAGTTACAATTAATCTTAAAAGAACTTATACATCAATGGCTAGCAATCGCTTATATTGTAGCTTAAAGTACTATAGAACAACTAGTACTATATCTATCTCGTAATTTTACCTGGTTCATAAACCTTATATTGAATCCAACAGGATAACTTAGTGGGATTACAGAAATGCCACGTTTCTTCCATCGGTTCTCTCTACATAAGTGATGCAGCAAATTAAGTAATATATTAACATGATTCTGAGATATTTTGCTTACAAATATCGTACTGTAATTTAATAGATAATAAAATTGCTGAAAGTTTTACATACGCGGTCTTGATAGACTATTAGGAGGATTAGTAGAATAGATAAATTTACGATTGCTATTACAATTACCTATTATAAGATTCAACATCTACTTTGCGTTTGTGGAAATTACTGCTTTTGATGACTTCATTTAAAACTGTTCGCACTCTGCTTTCTTCTATCACGTCACCATAATGAGTTATATCTCCGTCTTTGTATAAATTTATTTCCCTCACCTGTTGGCAAAATCTTGCATGTTTATTAAAAATCATAAATTTCTAAGTAATATTTAGATTGAATACCTGTAATTGGGTAATGCCACAATTAATTGCAATTTCAGTTAAAATCGTTTCTATTGCGAAAACGCCCTGTAGAAAATGTTATGATATCACAAGAATGCTGGCGGAATTTATTTTAAACTATGCCGGATAAACTTAAGAGAAATGCTATATGCAAGCTATTTTCCTTCATTTTGCTCTTACTTGTGGCGATCCAAAACCTCTGAAAGCAGTATTAGATGGGATGTTGGTTTTGCATAAGTATGGAGAGATATCAAAATGAGGAATTCGGTAGCAACTACTGCAGGTCAACAAAGTGCGTGACATAACCTACAGTATCCAAATATTTATTTAAAGATTACTCGATTACTCTGGATACTGAGAAATTACTGGAAGTAAATTAAGCTAAGACAAAAGAATAAAATTTTATTATTCAAGCACATCATTTTACCGCCGGAGATAAATCTAAGCTATTTCCACAGTTGGCATACATTCGAAGGCGTAGTGCATTAATTATACCAGTACTACCGAAGCCAACCTATGAGATAGGTACATTGCATATAACATAGTTTTATAATGGGATATGTAAATACATCGTATTTCAAATTTAATATTAACCTTGTACTTAAATAAATATGGATGTCTTGTTCCCGTTATTGACATGTCGACGTCTCTATCTAATACACACCGTACGGGCCTTTTCGAGCTAACAATGCGATATACAGCATTAGCATTTCTATTTTGCCAAATCGTAGTTAAGGGTAGCTGACTAGAGTAAGATTGAATCGTACTCGTGTAAATCAAGTTTTAGTTTCCAAGATTATTAAGATTTACCTCTGAGCGCCGATGGAAGCTGCTAATGCAATAATTATAGTACGCGATTCTTTGCCACCAAATCCTCCTCCTTAAATAAGCGCGAAAGAAGAGATTAATATGTATGTTGCATTAAAAATTTAATATTTAGAAATGTTACATCTTTCTCCGTATGGCGATTTTTAAAATTTTACTATTCTTCTGTTTAAATTGCATTTGTATTCCTGTACCTAAACGTTTAATTCTGATAATAACCCTGTTAAAGGGAATATCCAAGGCTTTACAAATGCTTTCTTGGATGAAAAATGATCCTTGAGATGTTACAAAAATCTCCATTTCTCCACTTTCCAATTTAGGTAAAGCAACACATGATTGAGGTTCGAGGTAAAAATGTTCCTACAGAAAATATTTAATACATAATAGTTTTACAATGGTATAAATAATTCAGTAATTATGATAAATAGCTGCTGTTTGCAATATAAATAGACTATACGAGTATACCTGACCGCCGATTCGAATATCACCTTCCAGTACATGATCAGACTTTTCTATTTCTTTTTCGATACCTTCTACGTTGAATTGCTTATCATACGGATAGTAACTGTCTGCTTGTATAGCTCTCTAATAATTCATATCACAAATATCAAATAACGTTAATAATACAGTCTATGGTAATGTTTTACTAGCCTAATGCAATAACTAAAAATTAGAATCATTTACTTCAATTGTTAAAATAGCGGGCAAATCTTCATATACAACGTGCACAGCTTTGGCAGCTTCATTAGCATGTTCTTTCGTATCTGCTAAGATTACTCCAATCAATTGACCAACGCAAGTTACCTAATTAGATATCATATAAATGTAACGAAGGCTAATTTTAAAATTTTTCTTCATAGATTTTATCATAACAGTAATGATTGTTATCCATATAAAGCAAATGAAGTACTATAGGCGTAGTGTAGATAGATTTAGGATTGTAGTATATATTGATGACTAACTTTGCTCGTGAATTACTGTTCAGCAGAAATTATATCACTTTACTATAAAATACAATGTGAGGCAATCCCTTTATCTAGGTTCTAATTCATAGATATTAGCCTGTTTTAGTTTTTTATTATTGCGACAAGTATACGCGGATATATTAATTATAATTGCGAATTAAACGGATTCAAGAACAGATTGTTAATTTAGTACGATAAAGTTAGGAGTTCTAGGATTTAATCTTTTTGAATTCTTTACCAATTGTTAGATTGATTTAGAATACGTTAGGATAATAGTTCGTTGTAATGATCTAATCAACAGTTTTATGAATTACATACCAGTAAAAAGTGATGTAATTTGATATTCCAGTTAGAGGAACTGTATTGAAGTCGTGTACTCGGGTTCTTCTCTAATTGTAGGTAACTTATACTTTTTACTGTTTGGCTGATTGACGTAGCATGAACTGCTATCTTTGGATTAATACTTTCAATATCAAACTATTACTTATTTTGCTACGCTTCTCTCACGCTAGTTTTACTATATACATATTCTTAGTTACAATTAAAATTAAAATAAAGATACATCTATTCTCCTTAGTAAATTACAGTAGTTTAAAGCAGGGACTTCTAAGAAAAGAATTTTTTCTTAGCAGTCTCTGTTTAAGGCGAGTGGCTGTGAACATATAGAAAGTTAAGCGGCACGAACAAAATTGATTCACATAGCTATACTTCACCTCTTTCGTAGCAAATATTTCTTCATCTGCTTGAATAACTCCGAATAGATTAGATCCTTTTACATCTTTAGCAGTTACGTGAGAGTGTACTCCAGGCATTGATAAAGCGTCTTTATAATCTACTGATCTGTGAGAAATTAAAATTTCAAATGAACTATAAATTATATGTCGTAGAGGTATATTTATAATTTGGTATTATTTAGCGATGTTGTAAATTTTAATTCCTACTCTATAATGGCATGGGGTCTTTGACTTAGTACTAAGCCAGCAAATAATTCATCTATACAAAATCACAATTATTTTAGTATTTAAAAATTTTCTTACGGTTGACAGTTCTTACGTCATGTCATAATGTCTAGAATACTAATATATATAAAGATATAGAGATTATAATTACTTGAAAACGTGGGCATATCGTCACAATATACAGCTTCACCAGTTGTCTGTTTTAACGCAGAAGTGTGTACCATAGGCCTCCTTAAAGCATCATCTTGTGCTTGATTGGAATCCGGTTTCTGAATTAAACACCACGTATAACTTTGTTTCATTCATTGTGATTGTTAGCTACTATATAGGTTTGAATTAACGCGCAGATTGCAATTATGCAGTTAATGAATTAACCTCAAACACTTGAATACTTCGAGTAGGATCTTTCTTGAATACTGAGGTTGCACTCAAGTATGAAGGAGGTATTTCAGCTTCTATAAAATTCTATCATCAATCGTGGTTATTAGAAATACACCATGAAGATTTAACTTAGAAATTTACTCTATTAATACAACGATAATCCAAGTTATTATATTTGGATAATTAGAGCTAACAAAAATTAGCTAGTGTTTGAAGATACAGAAATAATTAAATTACATAATAGTGCGTTTATCATTCTATATATATTACCTCAGACGGTAGAAGCTGAGAGGTAACTGTTAGATAAAATTTGAAAAAGAAACTGCATACTAGTGCTTTTCTATACTCGACCATTCCGCCTGGAGTAGAAAAGGCTAGCGGCATATCTTCGTTTAACAAGGGAATTATTAACTCCGTAAGGTTTTTATTCCACTCTCTATGTATAAAAGTTCATTTATATTAATTACAAAAATGAAATTCATACCAGCTAAACTATCTACGTAATGTGATGTGCTTTCTATACGTATAATACTCTTAACCGATCTATAAATGTCTTATAACATACGGTATGTAACGAAATAAAATAAACTACCTTCCAGTTAGAAAATGACTTGCTCGTTGAGCAATGACAGTTACTGGAGCCATCCCTCCAAAGCTTAGTGTACAATCTTTGATCAAGTAATTAGATTGTGATAACGATTTTTCAACAACGACTCTCATACCAGCATTAACGATAGATATATCGTCGGAACGTCGACGAGCTTGCTTAAATCCAAGAAAGTACTCGTTCTAATAACAAAAATTTTTTGGAGTTACCGGTACTTTATAAATAATTATGGATCCTTATTTTTATTAATTAGACGGTTTTCGTGTTTCATTTTCAAAATATTAAAATTAAGCCTTAGATCGATGATAGTCAAATTATTAACAATATATTGTAGTTACTTTATTTACCAAGTAAATCTTACAAAATTATAATAATTTCTTTTGTAACATTCCCAAATATGCGACAGTCATCTATTACTTTACCTCTGAAGTAAATGGAATCAAAATAGAAATTACAACTTCATCGTCATCTAGACAAGTTTTTCGATAACCAGTAAAGAAAGATTCATCCATAGTTATTACTTTCTTTTCATCTTAAAATAAGATATGAAATATTATATTAGAAGCTAATAACCTGACTTTGCAAGTTTCATTTAACAGGTAACGAATATCTATTGGTTACATCGCGGTCGTTAAGAACTAAAAGTAATATAAGTTACTATATTTAGGATTATTATCGCGTAAACAGCGAAAAGTGACAAGTAAGCTACTGTATTTAAGATTGTTATCTTATACATTATTATAATATATGATGTCTATTACTTGTATCACGATCGTAAAGAACCAAAAGTAACAAACTTCTATATTTATCATTATTATCTTATACATTATTTACTTACTGTCAGCTGATTGAACATATAGTTTAGTTTTAGAAGCTAGGAATAATGGATTTAAATCAGATATAGGACTTGCTGTCATGATATTGCCTACAATACTCTATCAATCATAAGTATTAAAAATAGACCTTTTCTCAAATCTTAATATTAGATGATAAATACGTTTCTAATGAGCAATCTCTATTGGTATTTATTTTAATATGATTTATTAGCTATAACGAACAAAAGGCATCAAGACGACATCACTAAAGGGTTAATACATAATACTTACACCAACGTTTCTAGTTTGATGACCTGCGAACCAGCGTAACATTTCCACAATCCCAGCGAAGATTCTCGTTTTGTATTCTATTAATATACGTGCAAATATATAAATATTTGAATATTCGATTGTTAATATATTGCAAGTATAAAGTTGGAAAGCGATATCTCACCTGGTAGCTTTTCTATAGCATCGCGTAAGATTTGATTCATTTTTGTTAATGAAACACAGCTACCGATTTCGATACCTTCATCACTGTAATTTACAACATTTAAAGGAGGAATTTCGCTTGGTGATATTAAGACTGGATAACTAATATCTTTGAATTTCGTTTCTACTCCTGTTATAACATATATATATATACAAAGTAATCAGGAATGCTACTCGTTATTTTTATTTCGTATTATCATGAAAAAATACTAAGAAGTTTGTTAACTATTCTATTATTAGTTATACGTATTAGAGTATAGATTCATTGAGAACCCCGACATTCGATCGTGATTCGTGTTCCTTACATTTCTGAATTTGCACTAAATTAATCTTATCAGTAAAAGGCTACTGTGCAAAGATGTCAATATATAAAGTAAACTAACTATTAATGCTAACGATATTTATGAAATTATAACTTAGTCACACAATTAGTTAACTACAAATACTCGCTCTTGAGTCATTTGTAGTTTATAATAGAGACAAATTTTTATCACCACACTTTCATTCGATATTACATTAGAGTTATTTCTTATTACTCTTGTACGATTATGTTAACATATTACACAATACCAACCGATTTCTGTATTTCCGATGACAAGCTTCGCTTTCGGATAGTCTCTCTTTAGTGATAGTAATTCATCAAGTGAACATGGTCGAAACCATGTAATATTCTTGCCGTGAATTTCTAGACTTGTTGTTGATTTGTCTTTTAATAGCTACAGGTAGTTTTATATTATACAACATAAGTCTTATATAAACAAAAACTATAAATAGTAAAATAGTGGATAGATAATAGCCATTTATATCGATTTTACACTATAGTGTACAATAGGATAATGACTAGTATATCTCTAAATAGGTATTACGATTATATTTATTACCAATAATTCTGGAGGAAATATTATATCTTGAGAGGGGTCATAATCCATGAGATCTGAAAGCTTATATAACTTGCAATCTAAATCGTTCTACAGATAAATCAAGATAACTTAACTTAATTCTCTAAGTGATTAATATGGAGATACGTTATGAGTATTGAAAGAATTTACCAATAAATGTTTTACTTAAAATAAGAAGTATGCATACCATACTGTCTATTTAACAAGGCGTCTACGAATAATATGATGATTTAAAATAACAATCAAGTTAAATATTACCTCTTGGGCTTGTGTTTCAGCTTCTAGTAGCTCTTTCTTGCAACAGTAATTCTAACCCGGTTATTTTTTTTGTAATTTTTATATTAAACATAAATAAATACTGTATATGAAGTGTGTTGTCACATTACATACTAACGCATTTTATAGTAACAAGCTATAGATTATTAAGTAGACTTGTCATGATTTATATTACAGAGAGACTACAACAATATAACGACTATTAGTGAAAAATTAAAGTAAATATCATTTTAGTATACGTTTGATAAGAAATAATTATACCTTGGAAAAAGATTTAAATCCATCTAATATAGGTCTGTATCCTGTACAACGGCATAAATTACCTGTAATGTTGATGTTAAAATTATGGTGATGTATCGAAATGAAAACGAAATTAAATATTAATATATAAATATTTTAAGTAGTCTAATATCAAGGTTTCGATGTGTACAGTAAATTAAACTGTCTAGATGAATATCGCATAAAATCTACATATCTATTCTTTTATATCGATTTAATTGTAATGTAATTAACTTTCTCTAAAACTTTTCAGCTTTACACACACGTACTTTCACATGCGTCTTCGATATCTTCTTCAGTAGGTTGAGAATTATTACGAAGTAGTGTATACATTGACATTACAAATCCAGGTGTACAAAATCCACATTGAGATCCATGAGCTTTAGCGATACGTTCCTAGTAATGTAGTATTATATCGATTTGTTCTTATTAACTTAATATCTTACGATTATCGTACTTCTATTATATAAAACTGGCATAAATTGAATATAATTAAAATATAGTATAGTATGAAATAACTAACACAAACTATTGTTGTATATAATTTGCTTATTGACGATAAGATAATGTATAGTTAAGAGTTAGAAATTAATAAAACCTGAACAGGATGAATTTTATTTTCTGTACTTCCAATTCCCTCTACAGTAGTTACTGCAGCATGATCCAAAGTACACAATGGTATAAGACATGAATTAACAGAATAATGGCTTTCTTTTCGTTAAGGTAGTTATATGGATATCGATAAAGATATATTGTAACATAACGTTTTTAATTACAGTTTCTAATATCTCGATTGTTACATTTGTAACGATACAGTAAGTTCTAAATTTGAATATTTAGAGATGGATTGTGTTAGATTAGTACTGTAGTAATAGACATAATTGGTTATGACAATAGATAAAAAGGATACATTACTTTTTGTTCGAATTTATCATACTTAGAGACCATAACAGTACACGCGCCACATCCTCCTTCACCGCAAACTAATTTAGTCCCAGTCAGTCGTACTACGTATTTTAATGTATTTGGAGTTATGGAAAGACAGCAGTAAAGGGAATACATATTGCTATAACACTTCTGATAAAGAAATAGAAGTCAATCATAGCAATATGAGGCCTGTTATATTATTAACTAGTGTAGAAGATTAAATCTGCTTTAAATAAAACGTCGATGTAATGTATTGAAGCTATTGTTAACCTTGTATGAAAAAGTTTGTACAGAGGATAATGATATAATCATGATTACTTTAATAAGTAAGTTGGAATCTATAAATTTCAAGTTATTGAGTTTTATTACTGTTCAAATTGAAAGATACAGTGATGACGTAGAAAGTATAGTAACGTCCATTCCGGCTGTGGATTGATAGTATACTGTAAGAAAAAGCCAGGATTGTTAATTTAGTTTATGGTAATATAAATTATAACAATTTAAGATGTATGCTATGATGTTGAATTATTGTTGGGTAATTTATCAGTGGTTTCCGTTCAATTTTGTAGCATGTTTATGTACATTATATAGTGTACTTCGCTAAGTACAATATATCCACTTTTGACGGTAAGCGGATACATATTGGACAGTGTAATACTTTAAACGCAATGACTCTACAATTAATTAGCCATGTACAATTATTACTTTAATTAATTTCTTCTACTCTATTTATAATAACTGTTGTATAATGTCTACTATGTATTCTACCCTTGTCCGACAGTACAGTACATTGCTTTTATTGTAATCATCATTTTATCAATATTTATATATCATTTGAAGACCGACCTTGATGCCATTGACATAGAATAGAATAGTATCATAGGTAAAATTAGTTTTAGCCATACTAAGGCAATAAAGGCAATCCAACAGGAGCAAGCCGCGTGTCAGGCAACCAAATAGAGAGAGGCAAGGGCTTGTAATCTCTTATTACAAGTCTCAACTCCTTGGCCAAATGAAAGAAAAATAAAGAAACTGGGCTGTAATGAATCAGCGGACGACGGCACCCCACAGCTACCGGTGGTCATAGACTACTATCGGCTACTACAGTAAGTTAGAAAACAAGGAAAGCTCGTTAACCTCTCTCAAACAAAAGAAGTGAAAAAATGGCGAGAATTAGGCCAATGAGAAAACATTTCTTTGTTTTCTTGTCACCATGCCCCTCCTTGATACACCTAGTAAGGGGTATGGTTACAAGACAGCAAGAAATGCTTGATTATTGCCTGGAGGGTAAGGTCATAGACTGCTACGGGCTACGACAGTAAGTTAGAAAACAAAGGAAAGCTCGTTGGCTTCACTCAAACAAAAGAAGAGAAAAATCGAGGGGATTAGGGCCAATGAGAAAACGTTTCTTTGTTTTCTTGTCACCATGGCTCTCCTTAATACACCTATTCAGGGGTATGGTTACAAGACAGCTAGAAATGCTTGCTCATTGGCTGGAGGATGTGGGAAAATCTGTTTACTGTAGAGTTTTTAGAGTATCGTATCGACTGATCTAAAATCTATCTAAAGTCTATTCCAGAAATCCCCAATTTTGATACATTCGTTTTCACAACAAAAATCCTACATGTGAGCCCGTCCACCCTGTACAGTACTTTAGGACTAATCGTTGCATAATACTGTACACAATTTTATTATTATTATATTTTTTATTAGTAGTACAGTACGTTAATTGCAGTACCCATTTTGCATAGCACGGCATTACCATCATTCCAAGACAATAACAAGCAACACTTGCTCATTGGCGCCATCCTCAATTATTTTCCTAGTTTTCCTTGGAGACCTATTCGTAGTCTAGGATTTTTTAAGCCGCCGTAATAACTATACTGGACTACTTACTGGCTAATGCTACTGGACGGTGATGTGTGTTGTATCATCAACTGCAAACTAAAAAAACTACCACGATGGCGATTCGATTATAGTAGTCCATGGTGGTTATTTGTTAACGGTGATCCAAGGATAAAACGTTGCTCAAATAGCACACCATAGACTACTGATTCTGTATGATAGACTACCAAATTCACGTTGAATTTGCGCTTACATTGAAGAAATCAAGCATGTAGAAAAATTTCCCCTTCGTATACTATGGATAAACGATGATGACCTTTCATATCCTGGACAGGATTACAGTACTCTTCTTGTACCTCCCATCATCAGAAATAGTAATCAAATTATATTATACAGTACAGTATTACAGTTCTCTTCTTGTACCTCCCATCATCAGAATAGTAATCAAATTATATTATACAGTTCAGCATTGCGATATGTCACGCTCAATGTATTAATTCGATTTACGTATACACAGTACGCACACCTATGTCAGCGTCACGTAGTCATCGCAATCCGCTAATGGTACACTTAAAATCGCGCTGTCATTACAGGGGTGCGGCGAGCCCTCGAAAATGGTTAAAAGATGTTCGGCTATAGTGTTGCCTTATTAAATTATATCTTTAAATTGTGTCGCAAATAATCATTCAAATATGTGTATCGTTACACTAATACACTAAGTCCAAATCGTAGCGTAATGTCACGTCTGATAATTATAATTATAATAGATAAGTTATAAGTTATAATAATCATAGACTACAAATTATCAACATGTTATGTTATCAAAATGCTTGTCTGTGTCGTGTCTAGGAATTTAGAAACTTAAATATTTGTATAGTACGATGCTGCTAAGTTACAAAACGATCCATTACTGTTACAGCTAGAATCTTAGAACAAAAGAAGTCTGAAGACTTCTATGGCATTGTTTCACACGATCATTCAATTACTCTACTAATGTGTGCACAGTGCAACCTTCAATAAAGTCAATTAATTAGTAGCAAAGCGCGAGCTGCATTTTATGAAAAGTATCGCTAGTCAACCTCAAGATCCATCACAATTTATTGGTAGCAGAATTGTCATATATATATAATCGATATCAACATGGCTGGGCCTTCAATGTACTGTATATGGGTACTGACGACAGTACTGTACACTGTACAGTACATCACAATCATGACTTTTAATTAAACACATTTATCACAGTACAAAACTGTACGGATGATCTATTTCATCTTCAGTCATATAACACTTTATTACAAGTGTCTTGTGCAGCAGCTAGTTTTTCGTGATCTCCTATAAATTTTTAGCAAAAACGATGGTAAAAAGATAGCTATTAAGTATAATTCGAGCTCAAGCGTTTGCATCATCTTAGCCTATCAAAAGGTATACAAATACTCTAATATTCACAAGAGGTAGCAACTGGTTTAGTAGTTTATTCCTGTTCAATATTTTTTTTCAGTTACATGATTGCAAATCGCTTTATGATACTATGAATAGCCAATCTACATGCTGATATAGAATTCCCAAATATGAGTTGCACAAACAAGAAAATCTTTCCATTAAGAAGAAATAGAAGGAAAATAAAAATAACTTTCATGATTGTGATACAATGTCAGCGGTTCTTCTAGATGAATTAATAATTCCTTTTCCCTTATTAAGATCATCAAATAACGTATAACAATTTGGGACTCTTTAGGTAAAAATGATTTATAGGCAGTAAACACGAGTATCTGTCGATCTAATTGTACAAGGTACTCAGAACAACAAGCAATAGCGTATCAATCTGGTAACATTTTACAGTAATTATGCTTATATTCATAGTAATTAATTTAAAATCCAGATATACTCAATGGAAAGCAAGTGCCAATTGCAGATAGAAACTGGTTAAGAAAAGTAAATCATATGAAATGAAGTCGCGACAGTGCTAGAAAGTCATCGCATAACAAATCATATAGGGGATTATAATGAAATATCGCTGCCATTAAGA